TCTATTCTTACTTAGCAATAGTTTCTAGTTCCTTCAAATTCAAAGAACTTCTTTCTTTTACTTTTTTCTTCAAATATGCCCATAAATTTTCATAAAGTTAGTATTTTGTGCAGGGTTTGCCAATACCTAAATTTTGCTGTCATCTAAGTATTTTGTAATAATTTCTGCCATGTGTTTTGGATCATTGTTATGTTGGAACTTCCTATGATTCCCCAAAGACAGCTTTCACGCAATTTGTTGTATATTATTTTTAAGAATAGCCAAAAACTGCTCTTTATCCATGATACCCTGTACTCTCACTAGTTCTCCTTATCCAGAAGCAGCAAAACACTCACACAGCAGAATGCTCCCATCACCATGTTTAATTTTAAGGAGGATATTTTTTGGTTTCCTCCATAACATAACAGGAGTTCATGTGACCAAATAATTCTGGTTTTGTTTTCATCTGACCATAAAACATATTTCCAATATTTGCTCCCATGATCTAAATGGCTTCTAGCATAAGCTAACCTGAATTTTAGGCATTTAGCCTTAAGCAAAGTAGTTTTCCTTGGGGGACAAGCTTGAAGTCCTCCTCAATGAAAGCATCTAGTAACTGTCTTTGTCGATACATTCAACCTTGATGTCTTTACATTATTAATAATGTCCTTTGGTATTAGGATCACTTCAAGACATCTCTGACAATTTTCCTTTTCATTCTCTCAGAAATTATTCACTTTCTGCCAGTCCTTAACTTATTCTCAACACAATGACTCTCGTACTTTGTGATAATTCTTCAAATTGTCAATCTAGGAACATTTAAACACTCGAAAAATATTGTATATCCATCCTCTTGTTTGTACACATGAACTATCTTCATTTGGAGTTTCTTGTCAAGTTCAGCCATCTTCACCATGGTTGCAGAATGAATTAGTTATCATGGTACATGTGGCACTCACATATTGTCTTCTTCATTAACATTTAGAATGTTATAGAACCTGGTCAATAGTTATTCATTTTTGTAGAGTGTTTGTATTAAATGTCAGATTAAGAAAAAATTTTAAAATTGCCATAGAGTAAATTTATTTCATAATTTCCATAAGTGGATTGTAATAATTTTGGACTGCATCAATTTTAAGAAAAATCTATATCTATGAATATAATAGATCAAAACTTCTAAAAATTTCATGAATTATTCAAAACTAAATATGGAATCAACTATTTATGGTAAATTCAGTAAGTACTTGCAAATATTTGCATTTCCTTAGAAAATGTGCAAATATTCAGTGGGGTGAATAATTTTGTCCAGAGCTTTATGTGTGTGTATATATATATATATATATATATATATATATATGCATATATGTCTGTGTGTGTGTGTGCAATAAGAAAATGTAATCCTTGCATAACCAATTAATGGATCCTTTCACAAGACTTATTTAAGGAGTTGTTTCTGATGAAGCATTTTGGTTAAAACTTAATAGTGATCTTATTTAAGGTATTCCTAACATGATGTTAAGGTCATATACAGTTTTGAGTTCTCCTTCTCCTAGACTAATTGCCAACCATGGATAGAGAGCCCTGCTTGTTTTTCTTTTTAACTTAAACCTGGGGGAAGAAGATATAAATTCATACCTTTTCCAAATGTATTTGTAAGTGAGTATGTGCAACAAACTTGACTGGAATTTGAACTTGGATCTCTGATTTCCCATTCCAAGTTGATATTCATTACACCACCCACACATCATATATATATTACATATAATAACATTAATACATACATATGTTAGTGTAGATCTTCATAAAAGTCCTAATTTAGATTAACTGATGAAGAAATAATTTTTAAACAACTCACCTGATCTAAACGGACCATGAAAACATTTTAGTGAATTAATTGTTGTCTTAACAAGAAATCATATTAAGCAGACACAAAAACCTATCTAGTTAATGTGCCTTGAATTACACATAAGTAAAAGAAAATACTCATTTCCTTCTCTATGTTTGGTTTTTGTTTCCTGAGGTAAAAAATATGATGGAAATGAAACAACAAAAGGAAACAAAAGAAGTGTCAACCAACAGAAAAAAAAGAAACAATTATAAAAAATTATTTAAATCTAAACAGGCTAAAGTAGAAAAATGATTAATTTATTCAATACACATCAATGGTTTGTTTTATTTTATCTTCTTTTATTTAAGAGTTACTTCAATAATGATCATTCTTTGTAGGAAGTTTTACATCACTTAAATATTATTGATGTAAGAGATACGGACAGCATTAAAAGTTGATACAAAGAAATAAAGAACAGAAATTCAAAGTGGGACACATTGCTGATCTTACTAAAACCTCGTTCAAAGGAGATCATCCCAAATAAGGAAAAAATAAGTAATGGTTGACAGATTAAATTCTTGACATGATGAAGAGGAGACAACAAACAATGCCAAGATCTGACACAGAAAATAGGATTTAGCCCAAAGAAATTACCAACAAATGCAAGCAAGCAAAAGAGGAATGACTCAATGAAAAGTGTGCAGAAATAGAAAGAATGAGTATTATAGATAAAGCAGATATGCAGAGAAGAATAAGAAAATTTACAGGAAAAAATACTGGTCATCAAGAGGATGCATAAAATCCAAGGATGGGACACTGATAATAGGAAAAAGAAAAAAATACCTTCAGAGATGGAATGAATAAATCTTCCACAAGGAAAGAGTACAATCTGCAATACATAGAAATATTAACAGACTGGAAATATTAAAGATTGAAGTTTAATCAGCACTGACCAAATTGAACAGAAACAAAGCAGCAGGGCCAGATGGCAGCTTTAGATGATTTTGGCATTGATAAAATTACAGACATAATAAATGAAATTTATGTCAATGATATCAAACCAGAAAACCTAAGTAGATCCATTTTTATAGTGCTGCCTCAGAAGCAAGGAGGAAATGAATCCAAACTTCATTGGACAATCAGTCTAATGAGCCACATAATAAAACTTCTATATGTCATGTTCCTTCAGGATGTAGACCATTATGGCTCTCTAAAATTCCCTGCCATTTGTAGATCTTAATAAATTTTTATCTTTTTGTTATTTCTCCTAAACCTTGTTCTGCTATTCATTTATTCCAGAACACTAAGTTGGTTATACATTGTTTTCCTCTGTCCCTCTTGCCTTCAATCTATCCTGAGAGTATCAGATTTTCTAAGCCATCTTTCCTCATTATATGCCCTAAAAAATTCAACTATCTCTTCTTGATGTTAAGTATAAGTTTCCTTTTTGTTTCTATTTTCTCTGAAATTTCATTTTTGCACACGTTTGCTCCATGATAGCATCAATATCCTCCTGTCAAACTACATTTCTGCTGCCTCAAATCTCCTCTTCATCTGTGAGGAGATTGTCCAGCATTCATTGATATTATGTAACAGTTCAGCACCCTGTTTTTTTGGGTTTTTTTTATTTCTAATGAAATTTTTCTGTTTCTTAATACTTTGCTTAGCTTTTAGAATGTATCCTTGGCTATCCCAATACACCTTTGGATTTCAGTGTCATACATTCCATTCATCTGAATTATGATGAATATAGCATGCAGCAGAATGAGACTGGAAATGACAAAAGAATAGTGTGATTTCATTAAAGACACTTGAACAAGGAATGCAATATTTATGTGCATAATAGTGCAGTATGCCAGATAGTGTTGACTTAGTGCAAATATATCAAGCAATATCTAGGAAGTACTAAATAAGAATATCTTTTTACACAAGTTCATTATGTATGTTATTCATTACTTTCTTCTGCCTCTTTTCATTATGTCCTGTGGGTGTCAAATTCTCAATGTCTGCTTTCCTTATTATCTATTCCAGAAATTTCAATTTTCTTTCTGATTTTAAGAATGTTTAAGTGCATATATGTTTGTTTCTAATTTTTCTTAAAACTTCTTCATTGCTCACATGTTTTGTCCATGTTACTCTAAGCACTCCTCTGTAGAACCATGTTTCAAGTCTCCTCTTTATCTATGAAGAAATTGTCCAGCATCCACTACCATATCTACTATACTGATTAATATTTTGCCACCAAAACTGTAATGTCTTGATTAAAGATATTTGCTAAATGAGCAACATCATCAACTTCCCTGGATCCAATTCCTGTTGGCGTCAACAGCATTCCGGATTATTACTCTGCAGGAAAGCTGATCCGTAGCTGATGAAATCGTGTTTTTGTTTTTACAGATATGGTATCCGAACCCCATGTTTAACTATTTCCATACAGCTTAATGTGGCTGAGCAGCTTTGAATTTGTCCTTCTCCTAGACTGGCTGCCAACCCAGGATAAAGAGCCAAATAGGACTGTTACTGATCTGACAGGAAAAGAGATGGATTCATACTTTATCCAAGTGTCATGGGTCCTTACCTATAACTACAGAATGAACTCTTCCTAACACTATGTATACTACGCCTCTCAAGAGAGAGGGACGAATCGAGTCGAGCTGATAGTAGTTTACTCCAAAGCAGACTGACAGTCATACTAACACCTTCCACACCTTGTATTATTATTATTTCGTGTAATATACCTTCATTATTTCTACTCTTTTGTTCGTGTTGTTCTTCCTTGGTCCTAACGTGGACCATAACACCAAGGGTATTTTTGTGAAAGTGAATGCATAGAATCTAACGAGAATTCAAACTCGGCTTGCCAATTTCTTGTTTTGGGTTGTTAACCATAACACTACCTCTAAATTCAGCTTGGTAATTAATTACATAAAATTAAAAATATAGGGTTTGTCTGAATTTCTAAGTTAAAAAAAAAAAATCAATATTATTATGCAATTTTGGTATTATAAGGACAAATTAAATAGAAAAAAATTAATTCATGATGACATTCATGCATGGATAGTAGAATGTGAAATACATACTCTATAGATTGAATAAAGGGTTTAGTTTGAAATTTTCAAATGGGTACTTAATATGTTAGACATCTAAACAGAGCAAAGAGTATAAAATATGGTTAACAATCAAGATGAGGATATTAAGAGAAAGAAAATAAAAAGAGAGAAAGAGGAGAAAAAGAAAGAAGAGCAGAAAAAGGAAAAAGAAAACGAGAAAGAAAAAGAGAGAAAAGGAAAAAAGAAAGAAGAAAGAGAGAAAGAAGAGAAAAAGAGAGAAGAGAGAAAAAGAGAAAGAAAATGAGAAAAGGAAAAAAGAAAGACAAAGAAAGTGGAGAAAAAGAAAAAAGAGAGAAAAGGGATAAAGAGAGAGAAAAGAGAAAGAAAGAGAGAAAGAGGAAAAAAGAAAGAAAAAGAGAGAAAGAGGAAAAAAGAAAGAAAAAGAGAGAAAGAGGAGAAAAAGAAAAAGAGAGAAAGAGGAGAAAAAGAAAAAGAAAAAAGAGAGAGAAAAAGAAAAAGAAAAAAGAGAGAAAAAGAAAGAAAAAAGAGAGAAAAAGAAAAAAAGAAAGAAAAAAGAGAATAAGAGAGAGATAAGAGAGAGAAAAAGAAAATGAAGATGCCATGAATGTTTCATAATTTTCATGTATTTGAAGCCAGTTGAGATGCTGAGATGGTAGGTTTTTCTTTAAGAGTCTTTTATGTGACTCAACGTCACTGACTTATTAGCTTCAGATTCATCCTCATCTGGAATTGGCATTTTATTTTCTTTCATTCTGTCACTGACAGAATGGTGCACTGTGCATTTTTTTAACCAGACCCTCTTTAGAAAACAAAAAAAAAATGTGTATGTGGTGGGTTGCTCTAATGTAACATGTGATTTTTTTTTTATGACAAACCTCCCATATCTACACTCCATATTTTCCTATCTAACAATCAATCCACCCTACCTCCTCAAGATTTTTATTCCAATTCTGTTTTAACAATCTGTTCACATTTTGATAGCTTTTGTTACAGAGAAAATCTTTGCTGTGTGTGTTCTTGCCACATTTTCTTCTTCGTTTCTTCACTTTCGGAAGGTGGGATTTCTTTATTTTCTGTTTTCTTCTTCTTCCATAATCTCTTATACTTTCATTCCCTTACCTTTTCTTTTCATTTATATCTATCACACTCTTCATTCATTTTGTTTTCCTTCCTTTTCTTTTTCATTATATCTTCCTTGCCTTTTCTTCTCTTTATTTTTTCTTTAGTTTCTCTCCTATTTTATTCCTTTATATTTTTCTTTTCTTTTCTTTTTTCTTTTCATTATTCATTCTATCCTTCTATCTATATATTTTCCTTCTCAATCGACTTCATTTTTTTTTTCATTTATACTAAATTTTCACTTTTTCCTTCATTCTTACACATTTTCTCACATCCATATCTCTGACATTTTTAAGGAATTTCTTTTCACACTCTCTTTTAAGTCTCCTTTTTAGTTTCATTCTAGCTTGTATTTATTCATTTAAATATTTATCTCTTTGAAAACTTTTGTCAGCTAAAAATAAACCAAAGTATTTTTTCTTAGCACCAACAGGTTCTTAAAGAGAATGTGCTATAACCTGAAATTCTCAGCTCAATGTATTATATTTGTAAACTCATACTAAAGCCATAAATTCAATCGGAACTCTCCTCTTAAGAGGGTGATACTCATCTTTAACAATACACATAAAATTACATGTGCGAGATAATTCTCTCTGTATATTATTGTTAAGTGTCTAAGCGTGGATGCTAAAAGAAAAAGTCTGAAAAAAACATTCAGATAAGTATGAAAACAGTTTTTCGTTTTATGACATTTCACCGTTCTTTGCATGTGTGTGGCTTTTTATATTCGCTCAAAGGGTGGGCAGAAAAAAAAAATTTAAGCAAACAAATGGTCCATTTAAAAAATTCTGTTTGCTAAAATTTAAAGATATTTTTTTGTATTGTTCTTTCTTGAAAATTAGTAAAATAATGGTTTTTCAAGATAATTAAATCAATGTAAGTAAATGACATTTAATAGGAATTCCAAATTTGGTTGCTGAGGATTTTAGAGCTTCCTCTTTGGATTGTGGAAATAGAAAAAAAAAAAAGGAAACTATTTTTAAGTCTTTCTTAAAAGATATAAAACAAAAGAAATACTGAAAGAGAGCAATCATGAAACTGGAATTCAGAGAAAGAGATTATATATATATATATATATATATATATATATGTATCATTCAGATAGTACTGTTTCACTGTATCACAGATCCTCAGTGCAACTAGACAACCAAATGCCTTAAGTCCGGATCAAAACCCAACCGATTTGGTGTCAGTTAGAGGTTCTGCCACTGAGCCATCTTCACTTGAGAAAACGAGTCAGCCTAATGTAGTGTATTGTTTTTAAATACATAAACAAACGCCAAGCAGCCAAAGTGCTCCATTCATTTTACTGAAGAGTTTCGCATTTATGCAAGTAACTATTATAAGAGTAAAAAGAAAAGTGGTAGGCTAGACTGGAATCAAGCCAATATGTGTAAATTCTTAAAAAAGTGCTCAATACTGTAGAGCAATCACATAGTCAAGATAAACACTCAGTTGTGGAGCAAGCTGGGTGAATAATAACTCCACCTTGAGAAAGAGAGCTATTTATGGTGCCATGGAGCATCTCATTGTGCTAAAGTGGGATAGTCCATTGCTTGGGCTGTGATTGGCTGCTGGAACATGAGTGGAGGTATTTCTGTATAAATACCAGCTTGATTCCAGTTGGTTTGCAGGGTTTGTATTGCGTTACAACCTGCTTTATTTTTGTCTGCCAGCTGGATGCTAGCTGGGACCCTTACACCGGTAAGTGCTGTTTATTGTACTGTTATTCTACAAATACACAATTCACAAAATATGTTAAGAGTGGATAACATGTGACTGCATGGGGCAGTTGCTAGATACACTAGCTGGGATCTGTTCCAGCTGTGCTGTCAAACTCTCTACCTTTGAGCAGAGAGGAACCCGGACGAGGCTATGCCAAATGACAGAGCCTTGTCCAGGGAGGTAGACAGACCCGAACTGGTTTATGTGGGTTCTACGAGGAATTTTTTGCCTGAGCCTATATACCCAGATGTCCCACATTAAACTCAGCCTTGTGCCACATCAACCCTCATGTGGGGGGTAGTAAATATTGACTAGCTGGGATCTGTTGAGTACAACTCAGATTTATGTGAGAACTACCAATCTTCCTATAGTAGCACTCACTACTGGGTTGACTTGGGACTACCTTCTGCATGATTGTTAGATTTATTCTTATTTTATTGGTTTTGTACAATAAACCTTTATTTTATTATCCACCTTGTTTTTCAAGTATATATTCCAATTAGCACGGAATAAAACACTCATTGTTTTTGTGCAAATAATACTTTGTTTTTTTAAGCAAAAGTAGAGTGTTGTCTTATTTCATGTAAATAAATCATATGGTTTCCTACACCTTAATAAAATAATAATAATAATAATAATGAGAAGAAAAACAGGAAACATAATGAAGCATGATAGTGTAATGTAATGCAAAACAAAACAAAGCAACTATAAGACAGTAGGAAAGAAAAAAATGTGTAGGTAAGACTTAGAAGTGTCCATTTTTATTGGCTAGGAGGAAATCCCAGCATGCATCTGTAGGATTTGTCTATAAATTTGGGGAGTTGGGAGTCAACAATCATTCTCTGAAACTGAAACCAACAATATATAATAAAATAGCTATTGATATTTATTTTTCTAAATTTCAGATATACAAAGATTGCCATTGAAAACATTGGCAAGATAAGAACAAGAAGAAAAATAGCTTTAAGAATATCAGAAAAAGAGATAAAAAAAAAAAAGAAAAGTGACTTGACTAACAAGAAAATATTTGACGAATCTGGTGCTGCAAATGTAGAGAGAGAGAGAGAGAGAGAAAAGATGCCTTTTCATGTCTCTGGCCAAACTACCACCTTTAAGTGAACATCACAAAGAGAAACATGCAAGATGGCTGAAGAAGTCAACAGAAATTTTAGTATTAAATGCATTGGATGTACTTGAAGACTGAGCAAGTGTTTGGTCCTACCTGGAAGTAGTTATGTAATTTAAAAAAAAAAATTCTTATCGTTTGAAAACATTGTGAATAACCTGAGAAACTGAGAAGGTGTAGGCAATACCATTTCTGAATGGTTGTTTGCATAGTCAACCTAAAGGAAGAAAAGTAGAGGAGGATGTCTGACAAATTGTGAAGGGTAGTTATAATATATATAATTATAGCATCAAATAAACTCATGAATTTCTCTAAATCCTTAAAACAATACAACGAAACCAAGGCATTTTAGTGTCACTTCACTTGATGTAGAAAATTTATTTACAAATAAACCATCGATATAATCGTTAACTTTGTATATAAAAATAATTCAATTCCACCTTCATCCATCAAACCTAGTATTCTCCAAAAATTATTGCATACCTGCACAACTAAAGTCCCTTTCTATGACCATAATGGTAAAATTTACACTTAAATGGATTAAGTATGGGAAATCCACTCAGTCCATGCTTCTCTATTACATATTACATGCCCCACATAGAAAACAAGATATTTACAAAGGTTACTAAACCCAAAATATATGTCTGCTATGTAGATGATAATTTAATTTTAGCTGTAATCAAAAACAAAACTGATTATATATATATATATATATATATATATATATATATTTGCTTTGATAAAGTCATAAGACAAAATATGTCGGCAAGAACTAAGATTTTTTCCAATTGTCTTTGGATTTATTTACATATAAAAAAAGTATGTTTTATTTAATTTGTTTTCATAATAAAACCTGCCTAATACTAACCAGTTATTATCGATGTTCCAAATAAAATAAACAGATATAATAAGCTTAAATTCACATTCTATATCATAGAAAATATAAGTATACCCAGAATATTTAACCAACACTGGTTGGTAAAAACCAATTTTGTGGCAAAAACATTTACTAGCAAAGTAAAAGCTGACATTTCACATACATACAAATAGAAGTTTTGATAATACAATCAAAATAAATGTAAGTAAATACTAAATTATTATGAATACAGATTATTTAAGTAAATTATATTTAACTCATTTTATACTCTCTTGTGCCAAACTTATTCTTGAGTTTATACTTTATTTTCTCAACTGTATTGAATTTTTGTGTCTGTGTGATGTACCACATAGTTTGGTTGATTAAAAGTTGGTTTCCTCCTAAAATGGTCAGAGAATGCTCAATATAAAAACAAATATAAAAATATAGAACTTAATGTTATCAATTAAACCAAAGGGTGCTTTCTTTTTTGCGTGTGGAGATAAAAGACCAAAGGTCAGCATTTTCATCTAAATCCAGCCAATTTAGTAACTCAGATAGCTGACTGCACCTGGCACTCAAAAAAATAAAAAAATAACTGACAGTATGTATTAAAAGAAAAGCAACGGTAAAAAAAAAAAAAGTATTGTCTGTGTGATTTTGGTCTTGAAATTTACCTTTAGATCTTTTGTTGTATTTCCTTGAAAAAATCTTGAATCAATTCTGTTTAGTATTCAGTTCAGAAGATTTTTCTCCATTGTTGGTTCCCTTTGTCA